TAAACTATTTTCTTCTCAAGCTTGGCTGGTTTGTCAGAGAGCAAGGTGAAGCTAATCTGAGACGCAACACTCCACCTAAAATTAGGAACAACTTCGTGATGGTTACAGCTGTTCAGCAGTGGAATATTATGTATTGGAGTGAGGTGGAGTCTTTCTCTGGAAATTTTGTAACAGTGGCTGGATGGCCATCTGTCAGGAGTGCTTTGATTGTGTATTTCTGCATGGGAGATTGGGATTGGACTGGATGTTTTCAAGTCCATGATTCTATGAATTGTGTAGTGGAGATTCATCCACCTTAAGTTAAACACTTTTAGCAGCTGAATATAGAATTCCAGTTTTCCACTGAAACCATTAAGGAAGACATGTTTGTTTGCTGGTTGCTTTATGTAAAAACTAAAGAAAGGGAATATTATGCCAGATGTTCCATCAATTTTCTCATGTTGGATTATACTGTGCAGCAGGAATGAACACAACTGTGTTATGCCCTGCTTTGAGGAGAGGCAGGTAAGAAATTCTTATTCTTATTCTTATTATTACACAAAGATAAGAAGCAACATGGAGTTTTGATATATTACTTACACCACATCTTCAGAAAGAATATAAACCAATTTTAACCCACACAGACCACTTTACAAAAGTAAAGGAAACAAAGAAATCAGGATACAAGCTGTAATCTTATATATACATACCTGAAAGCAAACCTCACTGATTTCATGAGCAGACATGTAGCAGAGAGCATTGTCGTTATTAATTTAAAATCATTGTCTCTAAGAGACTGTTCAAAATTAATTTTCTGTCATTTTCCTGAGCCTACAGAAAACTAGTACAGTATTGTATTCCATTGTATTCCTATTTTAAACCTAGAACCAGGAAGCTGCTTTTTAGATTAAAGTTGAAACATTATCTAGTTCTGATTATATAATTATTTTTAAATATATATAAAACCAAGCATTTTAAGGCATAATCGTTGATTGCACAGATTCTTAGCTGTAATATGTATACCTGGAGACTTAAATCTTTTCTCAAGACATCTAGAAGATAATCCATGCAGACTGATGGCTAAACTTACCCAAGTTCAAGCTGCCGGCATATGACTGATGCATCTGTATCATCCCAATGATGACCGCAGATCGTTCCCCATATTCCGTTAAGATAAATTTCAACTGTGCCTTCAAATTCATTTTTGCCACCTCTAAGTCTCACTGAGCCTATGAAAGACGGAAAGAATGAGAAGAAGAAAAAGAACTTGTTATTAATCATCTCATAGTTTAAAACAGGCCTGGGCAAACTTCATCTCTCCAGGTGTTTTTGGACTTCAGCTCCCACAATTCCTAACAGCTGATAGGCTGTTAGGAATTGTGGGGGCTGAAGTCCAAAACATCTGGAGAGATAGGCTGTTAGGAATTGTGGGTGCTGTGGTACAAAACACCTGGAGGGCCAAAGTTTGTCCATGCCTGGTTTATAGGCATGCTGTCAGAAGGCAACATTGGGTTACCTCCAAGTACTGATATGCTTTCAATGTTGTCTTGTTTGATACAAACATTACAGTGTATGTGGCATGAACTGAGCATATGACATTTCTTCCTTGAAAACTCAAACCAATATAATAAATTCCATATAAAACAGAATAAAATTACAGTAAATTGCCAATTAACAAGAGATGTGTGCTAGAATGAAACTGCTTGATAACATTTCTCCAAAAAGAGATTGATACAATCTTTCTTAAGCTTCCTTATGGAAGCTATACCATGGCAACCACTACTGAAAAGTTCATGGTGTCTATTAGGGCTGGGAGGTTTCATTTCGTAATTCGTTAAAAATTCGTTTTTTTTATAACGAAGCGATATTGAACCATTCAGGAGCAACTAAAAAACGAAACAAATTTTTCCAATTCGTTTCGTAATTGTTTCGTTATTCATTCGTTATTGATTCGTTATTGATTCGTTATTATTTCCGCATGTCTGGTGCAAGTTTTAGGGTTGCTGATTGTTTTCTCAGTGAAAAAAAATATAATTATCACACCAACAGTCAACAACAGAGGGAGAGGGAAGCTTCAGAAGTTTTTTTAGCGTATTGCGCGATCGCGGCCGCCATTAACGAATCGATTCGTAATCGATTCGTAATTGTTTTGTAATTGTTTTATTATTTCCGAAATTTCGTAAATATCGAACTTCTTTTTAAGGAAAATTTCGGAATTCTTTTAAATAACGAAATGCAAAAAAACCCTAAAAACGAATCGAGTTTAGAAACAAATTTTCCTGTGTTTGGACAGCCCTAGTGTCTATAGCTTAGCTGATTCATTGTCATTTGATGCGTCAGATGCAACTCAGAGCAATGCCCACTTTTCAGACCATTTAAACCCTTTGCAACAATGGACAAAATGCACCCATATGGACTCCAAGGGGGTGCCTCAGCCCTGCCCAACCCAATCAGGGATACTTTACCATTTACCTTGGTGGCACAGCAGGTTAAACTGCTGAGCTGCTGAACTTGCTGACCGAAATGGTCAGCGGTTCAAATCCAGGGAGTGGGGTGAGCTCCCACTGTTATCCCCAGCTTCTGCCAACCTAGCAGTTCGAAAACATGCAAATGTGAGTAAATCAATAGGTACCACTTCTGCAGGAAGGTAACGGCACACCTTGCAGTCATGCTGGCCACATGACCTAGGAGGTGACTATGGACAACACCAGCTCTCCAGCTTAGAAATTGAGATGAGCACCACCCCCAAAATCGGACATGACTAGACTTAATGTCAAGGGGAAAGCTTTACCTTTACCTTACCTTATCATTTACAACAGGCTGCCACTGCTTGTTGTATGTCAGAAACGAATAACTTTTATAGAAAGATAAGATGCAGTTTGCAAAGGTCAAGGGAAGGGCAAGCATAACTCCCAGATCTTCAGGAGTTGCCCACCTCTGTTTTAAAGGGATGTAACTTTATTCTTCCTGATCTCTTTCTAGCAATTGTAACCATCAGATATTGAAACTGCCACATTATGAAATTAGACAAGAAATTTCAATACTTCAGTTAGAATGTGATTAAGATCCTACACAGGCAAGGAAATGCATACACTCTTTTCCATAATTGACCATTTCATCTCTGAAAGAAACAGAGACTTAAAAAAAAACACCAAAGAATATAGTTAAGAGCGGTTTTTATTTTGTCTCCTCATTTAATTCCATCAGGTTTAAAGGAATTAGAAAACAATCACATAGATTGCATAGCTTTTTCAGTGACCCATATAATATTATACATGACATAAATGCCAGAAGTTTATTTCAGGCCAAAGAATGCATACTTGACCATAACCAAACACCATTACTCAAAGCTCATGTGAATTTATGATCTAAAGGTCCACAAGTCTAGATATGAAATAAGTAAACATACACCACCCATAAATACTGAAAGCCTTAGTTACAAAAATATGACAAAGAATTGATAGTATACTTCATACAAAGAAGGCCCTATCTGGTAAGTTCCTTCCTGCAACATGTTTTAAATGACGCAAAAATACATTATATGGCGTTCATTATTGCCATTGAAAAGAGAGATTTATATTGTAATAAACTTTGTTATTTTGCTGTGAATTCACCCAGACTTTGTGTCATGTCCTAAACAGAAGAGCATTCCATGTGAGCTTTTTTTCATGTTTGGCCTTTGGATTGGCTGTTCTTCTCATTTTACAATGAAAGATCATTGTTCACTGTACAGTCCAGAACAACTGAAACAACATTTGCAAGTAGAGTGCACTGATTCATAATACATATACACACATGCATACACCCACATTGAAAACATCTAAAGTAAATGACTGCTAAGCAACTAAAATAAACACATTAAATGTCTGCTGGTCAGCAATCTCAATGAGGTTTTCATTATTATAAGATCAGCTGGGAGCACATGCACCAACAGTACAAAGTAAAAAAAAAAACAGTTGATCATAACAAAAATTAGTTAATATGACAAAAAAAAATCACTCCCACAGAATTCTTGCAAGTTGCTTAGATTCTCCAGTGGAGCAACCCATTTCTAACAATGATATTCATTAACAATCTTCATTTGTGAAAGGAATCCATTAGCATATGGCAACTAGGAGAACATCACAAGGATGGCATTGAACCCAAACCGTATCACTTCTCTCACACAATATACAAGAAAGGTTACAGGAATAATTTGTAATGCATATCCTTGCATAGAAGACCCCAGTGGTACAGCAGGTTAAACCACTGAGCTGCTGAACTTGTTGACCAAAAGGTCAGCAGTTTGAATCGGGGAAGCAGAGTGAGTTCCTGCTATTAGCCCTAGCCTCTGCCAACCTAGAAGTTTGAAAACATGCAAATGTGAGTAGATCAATAGGTACAGCTTTGGCAGGAAGGTAACGGCGCTCCATGCAGTCATGCCGGCCATATGATTTTGAAGGCGTCTACGGACAATGCTGGCTCTTTGGCTTAGAAATGGAGATGAGCAACAACCCACAGAATTGTACACGGCTAGACTTAATGTCAGGGGGAAATCTTTACCTTTACTATTCTTGCATAGTCCCGTCCCACTCCCCACCCCCATTATCCAGTTGGTAGGAATGCAAGAAGTGAAATATAGCCAATCAATTTTGTTGGTCCTGTGAGAAAAGGGCTAGAGAAAAAGACATGATTGACATCCTCAATGTATCAGCCAATCAACCTAACCGCTCAGAATTTCAAAGGCATGCATATAAGAGATAACTTGCTCTACACCATGGTCCTGTGTGAGTTGCATAAGTGATGGTGGTGCAACAGGTTGTGCAACCCGTGTAGACAGTAGACTGGTTCACTTTGAAGCTGGCCATGTTGTCCACACTCTGCCTAAAGTGTGGGTCTGCTCCGGAGTTTTGCAAAACTCTGGGGCATTCCCTGACTTTGCTTAATGTGGGGTTAAACTGCTTCACCCCAGTCTACTGGACATTATTTGGACATTGAGAAACAATGTTTGGTCCACATGGGTAATTTAAATGGAGTTAGGAGGTAGGATTTATTGATTTCACTGCTCACGCTTTCCCCCACCATTTGGACACAAGCTCTCCTATGCTTTCCCCCCCACTTTGGACTTGAGAATTGGCACACTTTCTATACCAGCTTGAGTAGCCAAAATTGTATGCTAAGTAATGTTCACTAGATTTGGTCTGGTTACTGCTGTATTACCGCATTAAAAGCCACATCTATTGATCTAAACTTCAGCTAGGGTTGCTCTTGATTTTTTTTCTTCTCCATTTATTGAGAACCATTGACCATTCTTCTCCAACAGCAGTGTGCCTCCTAAACAAGAAGGAAAAGCCATTGCTATATTCACTCTTCATAAAAGAAAAGAGGATGCCACAGTATATGTTTGAAGTCTGGGAAGGATAGCTATGGCTCCTATGAAGCTAAGGCACTAAAAGTTCTAGGCTGTTTTGCCCTGACCTCAAGGACATGTTTACACAACTAAGATTCAGAGATTTTTTAAGGTTATACTTAAGACTCTTCTGAGATAGTCAACCTCTAGACATACAAAAGCTGTTTTGCTAAATGCCCTTATGTTCGATATACATCTTTGCTCACATTGTAATGCTCTTAGGAATTACAGCCACCAAAGATAACCCTTTATTTACATAATATAATGCTCATATGAAAATGAGGTGAATGAGAGAGAGCCCCTATTCTTGTCAGGATACATTTACCCCACTTCAACTCAGATCTAACTGATTGATCCTTTTCAAATGCAAATATTTGGGGAGGGGCATGAGTTCAAGGATACACTCTTAGAGAAGATCACGTGAATAAGAAACAGACACAGTAAAGAAAAAATACACACACTACTATTGTATGGAGAGGGTTTAAAATTAATTCTGGCTGCAGTGCAAAGAAAACTTAGTCACAGCATATTTAGCCATGTTTAAGCACTATTGAAATCAACAGGATTTGATCTGGGATTAAGGCCACAGTAGTGAAATAAACAGGATTTGGGACCAACAGAACTGTCTCACTGATGTGCTTAGTAACTGACCCTAAACGTTCTTTCCTAGGATCAACTGCCATTACTTATTTATTCAGTAATATCTATGTACATGGCACATTGCAAAGGATAGTCCCAAGGGTCTTACAATGTAAAAAGAGCCACACAAAAGTGGGGGGGGGGGTTTAGAGGACACCCATGGAAGGAGTTGACAAGAGAAGAATATGCAGGATATTTCTG